TCTTTTTTCTTGCAATGGCTTACTGAAATGTGAGCAGTTTGCATTTTCAAAGAGTAAAGGTGAAGTACTTGCTGTGAAATGTGTTGTTTGAATTAAGGCTTTTCCGATTTTACTTAAATTGAAATCAGTCCATGTGGAATTACAGTAAAATGGTGCAATATGTTGATTTACAGAAGCTCCTGCTGTCATCCAAAAGTAAATTGTGGAGCCTCACATAATCATGAAACTTCATCTTTAAAACCTGATTGGTCTTGTGTTTTTCTCTAAATAATTTTTAAGGAATACAGATTATGAAGAGCTTAAAATACTAAAATTCGTGCTTATATTTTTGTCTTCATTATGACATGCAGCAGTATAGAAAGCCTGGTTATTTTTGTGTCAATTGAATTTACAGAATCACAGAATCATCATGGTTGGAAAGGACCTCTGAGATCACCGAGTCCAACCATACACACACAAAAAAAGCCCTTACAATCTTGGCCACTAGACCATGCCACTAGAGCATGCCCTGAAGAGCCACATCTACGTGTTTCTTAAATACCTCCAGGGATGGTGACTCCACCACCTCCCTGGGCAGGCTGTTCCAGGGCCTGACCACTCTTTCAGTAAAGTAATTCTTCCTAATATCTAATGTAAACCTCCCCTGCTACAACTTCAGACCATTTCCTCTGGTCTTGTCATTATTCACTTGGGAGAAGAGGCCAACACCCACGTTCTCTACAACCTCCTCTCTGGCCCTTGTAGAGGGCAATGAGGTCCTCCCTCAATCTTCTCTTCTCCAAACTAAACATGCCCAGTTCCTTCAGCCTCTCCTCATAGGACTTGTTCTCCAGACCCCTCCCCAGCTTGGTGGCTCTCCTCTGGACACGCTCCAGCCCCTCAATGTCCTTCCTGTAGTGAGGGGCCCAGAACTGAACACAGTATTCAAGGTGAGGCTTCAAATGTTGAAACTGCCTCTGTAAAATAGATTTTGTGTCTTTAAAACTTGGTATGAGAAGTAATACTTGTGCAAAAAGGTGATTGTTCATTTAATGTACTTCCCTTTAGCTATAGACTTGACTTCTTAAGCCCAACATTCAGTAAGCTCTAGTGGGTGGGTTGCTCGGGTTGTGCATAGATGAATGGGTCTTCCTTGGATAATTATCTGCAAGGAAATATATACAACTCTGATTTGTTAACTGAATTTGGACTAGACTATTACTGGAGACCTGAAGTGCTGTTTACAATATTATATATTATGCAAAATTGATTTTTTATTTTAAATGGGGTCAAAGCCATAGCCAAGATGCCAGGTGGATACATGATACGTGATCGAATAGGAGCAAAGATGAACATTGCTGGATCTTTAGGATGCTTCAACGTGCTTAGCAGATTGCTAATACGTATGCATTCTCTTCAATAATTAAATTTTCATGAATTTTAAAGTTATATTTCTCTATTAAGACTGAGTGAGTTTCATGCTGCTGCTGGGATTTTCTAGCATCACATCAAATATGTAGGCAGAATTGTTCTAACAGCCTTGCTCGCTATGAGATTATTTCCTGTCGTGGTCCTGCCATGTTACAGCCAGAGTTTTTCTGCTGTTCTGGGCTTTTAGTCTCTGACCATCTGCATGGTTTGAGGACATCCTTTTAATTTGGGCCACTGAGCCACAAAACCATGGCCTCTTCTGAAACTGGGTTGGATGTAGGCTGGGTCTTCTCCATGTGCACTACTCTTCCAGAGGAAAGAGCACTTGATTTCTGTTAAAGACCAGGAAGTGAAAAGGCTGTGCTTCTGCTCCTAGACTTCTGTGTTTTCCAAAGAAATAAAAGGGAAGATTCTCTGTATTTCAGCTCTTGGACCCAGGAGCATCTGCCCGAGTGCATGGACTGCCAGATGCTGTGGCAAGGTCATCTGCTACATCTTTCTGTGAGGCTTCACTGAAGAGTGAGAGAGGGTCAGAAGGGTCAGTGGTGGTAACATCTCAGTCTGCTGCAAATGCTTTTTAAGGCAGCAGGAGTGAGGGCCTGATGGAATTGCTATGGAAACAAAGCTTATTATTCTTACTTATTAATAACCTGATGTCCCTTAAAGGCAAATCTTGGAAGTCACCCAGTGTCAGGAGAGTTCTTCCATTGAAAATCAGGGAATGTGAAATACTGGCTGGTAATCATCATCTCCAAGGCCCACCAGTCCTGTAGAAAATATTAACAAAGTACACAAACTAGTATACTCTGTATTCTAGCAAAAGATTAAATGGGGTCCTCTTTTTATTTGGACTTCCATAACAATTACTTAGGCATTAAGAAAGGACAGAGCTGCAGCTTTTCACTTACATTGGCATTGAATAACTTAAAACAGACAGAGTTGGTGGTAATGACATTACTTTTAAGGCCTTTTGTACACTGTGAAGGGTGCAGAAGGGTGATGTGTCTGTCTGGCGGGAGTAGGATGTTCTAGTACAAGTCCAGTAATTGAAGGGGTGAGAATTGTTGAAATAACTGTATTTTACTAAAGCTGTGTATCAGTGAAGAAAGCTGGAGTTCAATTTTAGTTGTTGAATGTTAGGGCTTAAATAATGCAAGGCTTGTAGTTAATGCACATCTACAAAAGGATTGTGGAAAACAACTCAGAATTTTATAAAATATGGAAGTGAGAGAATTAAGGACCTGGAAGTTCCAGATGAGCTTGTCAGCTGGTTTTCAAGGCATGCTGCTTTTCCTGTCAGCTTTGATTGCATATATTCAGAGGCTTTAAAAGCAATGTCTTGCAGTAGAAGGGCAGTATGGAGAGGTGTTTCAGTGTCACAGGATCCACAGTTCTTGGATGGAGGCTCAATTTTTTGGCAGTGCTTTGGTGTGTCTGATGGTTGCTTTGCATTTGTGGAATGCTGAATCAGTGCAAATCACACCTTTCCTCTGGTGTTTGCTGTGGTGTTACTGAAACTGCCAGATTTACTGTGGTAAGGTTGGGCATCAAGAGACCTGAGGGAGCTGGGCTTGTTTATCTGAACCTGGATTTAGCTTGTGGCTTCCCAGGAACTCACAGGTAAGGTTTAAAACCTGACTGAGGACATTTCCCTGCTCCCTTGTTCTGTGCAGTGTGTTATGCCAGGACACGGTGTGAAGGGAAAGCAAAGGAAGGTAGAGTCATCCCAAAGCACTTAGACACCACCTTGTCTGTGATACAGAATTTAGAATTATTGCCAGTCCAGCGTAATACTGAAACCCGTTATATTCACATCAAGATAATTACTGAAGTGGTAGTTTATGGGAATGTCTGAGAAGTGTATATATAGCTCATATAACGTATCTGAGGGCCTCAGCATAGTCTGATTTATAAAGCAGAAGAGGAGAGATTGGAGTTTTCTCCTCAGCTCTGCAAATGACTGGTGCCGTGGAGCAGTATTGGCTCTCCACCTCTCTGGGTATTACAGCTGTATGTGCATTGCTGCCTCTGCAGTTCCTATGGGCTGTATTAGCATCATTACATGGTTTGGGCTTTTTTCAAGCATTGCCTTAAATGAGGAGGATTTGTTCAGGCCATTAAGCCTGAAACTGTATACTTAGGCATCTTTTACTCAATTGTTTGGTGAAGATACCCGTTTGGATAGTTTTATTTCCTAGCAGTGCAGCTAATATGTATTGCAGCTGTAGTGAAGCACTCTTGAAAAAATTCTGATATTATATGCCATGGAGAAATGTGTGCCTTCTTTTTATAACTTGTTTCTGTAATTTATCGAACGAAGAGTGTTTGGTGTAAAGCAGAACATTTTTGGTAAGCGTGAGAGTTTTTTTTCTTTTTTTTCTTTTTCTTTATTTTTTGGTGGACTATGAGCAATGTGTTACCTCTGCAAGAGACTGTAATTTCATACCTGAGGTGTTTGTACAGCATAGTTTCATTCTGTGGAACATATAACATGAATATAAATTGTAAAAGACTGACACTACCAATAATACCTAATGAGATCTTTGGTAATGCTGGCATTGGCAAGGTGGCATTCTGCATGCCTTAGCTGTCCTATCTAACTACTATAATCATACTGTCTCCTAAAGACTATATATTAATACATGGGAAGACTCATTTTTTATGACATTTCTGCTGCACTACACTTTGGTTGTATGTAGGTCAGAATCTAGGTTCATGTGTCCTGAATTTTTTTCTTTTTTTCTTTTTGATTGTTAAGAGTGGTTATAAAAAAGGGTCTAGTCTTTTATATAAATAAGTTGCAAGAGAAAATGAATTCCACTTGTAAGAGGCTATTCTTTTTTGTTTTATAGCACTGTGTTCCACGTTTAACCATAGTGTTCTTAAAATAAGAGACCTTTGTTCTCCAGAAGAATAGTCAGTAGTTTGATAAAATACTTGACAAAAATAATTTACTGATTTCAATGTCATTCATTTTTAACATCTAATTAATGAGAATGATTGAACGTGCAGGAGCAAATCTCCCAAGTAGCAACAATTAGCAGAAGGAAATATGGAAAGGAAATGTAAGTGCACAAGACTGTCTTGCAAGTCTCTAAAAGCTGAACTGCATGGCAATCACTGAATTTCACTGAATTTTCAGATATTCAGGAGTAAATTCCGTATTTCAGTGTGCAGTTAATTTTTCTAAGGTAATTTTAAATACTGCTGAGTTGCTTAGCAGCTCTCTTACACTCCTCACTTTGTATATGCTTTATATGCAAATTTTCATTCAAACTCCGTTGCTGTATATATTGACTTTTGCATTAGAAGACAATGGAGAAGAAAAAAAGCTGCAGACTGTGGATTTTGCATTTCTTTGTGAACTGTCTAAATATTTATTTTTCTTGAAAATTACATAAACCAGAGTTAAATCAGTTTTTCGTGTACTGCACTTAAGTTCTCTTGAGCCAGCTTTTGCAGCTTAGGGAGGCAAACTTCAGTGGGAGTTCCATATGAATAACTCCTGCAAGAGTTTGCTCCAGGGATCCCCGTTAGGTGTTGTTTGGAGTGATAAATTTGTCCCAACGATGTCCTCTTTGTCTTTGCAGTGTTCTGGATGATGAAGGGAGCAGCCTGCGTCAGCAGAAGCTTGACAGGCAGGTAAGGTTTTGGAGGGGTACCTGCTTGTTCTCTGCAGTCTAAATCTTGGATTAATGAAATCACCAACACTTCTATCTGCTAATTGATAGAAAATTACATCCTCTGATTAGGGAATGCAAAAGAGAGGTCTGTGGAGGTTACAGCTTACTTAGAAGTCTAACTTCCATTGAAATTTTTCTTATGACTGTGGTTTGAGTGATTCTCATTTCCACTGCCTTGGACTTGTTTGAAGCTGACGTACAATGTATTTCTGCCCCCTCTGATGGACCAGAAAGGACAAGAGCTTCTAGCAGACATGGCCAGAAGGTTTACCACAAAGTTTTTACATCTTTTCATTCCATGGATTTAGCCCTTGTGACTAAAGTAATGGCACTGTGTGCTATGTTGCCTATTTTGCTACTGTATTCCTACATGACTTGTACAAGAAAGTAATTCACAATCTCTTCCATGAAATCTCAGGGAATTTTGCCATCAAGTTTTAATGGGGTTTGAGGTTTTCCACTTTTCCTTTGATTTTTCTGTGGTCCCCTTTTAACGAAACTTTGTCATGTTTATAGTTAAAGCTTGTGAGTTTAATTTTATGTTGTTCTATACTTTTCCCATTGTTTTATCAACTTCCATGTTTATCAGTATCTCATTTTAAAATGTAAATACTTTTTGTTTATGCCATAATCTTGTACTAGATTTTGATCATTTTGAAGTCGTGTTAAGGTGTTACACACAATTTATGGAGCTGAAAGGGTCTCCACTCTCCGTCCTTGTTCTTCATTTTTAGTGTATCTCCTTTCTAAAAGCAAAAAAATCACTGTACAGGAGCAGGGAAATGGTAAGGTAATGAATAAGTAAAATTAACAGCTCAGTTCTCTGAGGCTGTAGAAGAAGCCTCCAAGAGAGAGGTGTCCATGATGCCATCAGATGCTGAAGGTTTTGGGTTTCAGCAGGACTAGCTGAGAAATTAATTTGTTTAATTAAAGTTCATCTTGTATAGCTGTTAGATTAGGCTCACGTCCAGCACTGTCACTTGACTCTCGTTTACAGATTACCTGCTTCTAATTTACAGAAACTTAAATTGGCATCTCTGCCTCATTGCTTACCCTCCCATTGCTTCACAGCCACTACTATCACACTGTTGTTTTCCCAAGGGTTGTTTCCAAGCAAGCTCTGACAGCTGGTAGACTGCTCAGAAAGATCTGTTTTAATTAATTGCTGTTTTCAGCAGAAGGTGTTTTAGTAGTGGGTTGGTTGGAGTTTTTTTGGAAAGATTTCCTATAAGCCGATATCCCGTATCCCACTTGCCAACTGCTGCCGCTGGAAAACTGCAGAAAGTGTAAAGATACCCATTGTTTTTTATCTACTTTGCTACTGTTTGGAGTCCAGTAACAGATGCTTTTCTTTGTGTTTTCCTCAGCGGGCACTGCTAGAACAGAAGCAGAAGAAAAAGCGTCAGGAGCCATTAATGGTTCAGTCCAACGTGGACAGTCGCACGAGGACGCGCAGAATGAAACACTCGGAAGAACAAGCACCATTGGTTGAATCGTATCTTAACAGCAACAGCAGCACCATATATCATGGTACATGAATATGATCTATTGCATGTTTATTGACTGCAAGTCATAGTACGATGCTCTCCATGTTAAATTTTTGCTAATGAGAACGAAGACGGTTGTTTGGGTTTTTTTGAGCAAATAATTTACATCCTTCACTTGTGGTTGGGGACAAAACATCAGAACTTGCAATGTTAGAGCAAGAAAAGTAGCTGCCATTTCAGTGCTGTGGGGAAGAAACAGTGGTTTGTGTCTTCTGCCATGAATACTTAAGTGTCTTCAGCCTTGGTTCCTACTGAACTAAAGCTTATGCTGTTCTGCTCCGTATATTCCTCTATACATAATTTTGCTTAAGACTGACAGTCTTAATGATAAATTTGAAACCCATTAACTAATTTCAGCTAAATTTGAATATAATAATTTCAAAGATAGTGTGTTTCTCCAAGGCTCACTAAAATAGGTGAGTAGGTAGAGAACAACATTTCAAGCTTGTACAATGTGGTCTACACTTTCTTATTAAAGGTTACAGAATCCAGAAGAGACTAAGACTCTTCAGATATCACAGCCATAGGGAAAAAATTATAATGCCATTTCTATATTATTAGACTTCAAATAATTTCATAATCAGAAATAAATCCTAAGGAAACCAGTCATTATTTAGTTCTCTGCTCATATAGCCCATGCTTGTTGGCCCCCTGATGAAGGTAGGTGTGTATTTTTCTTCAGGATTCCTAGAGGGAAGCTTGGGTAACCCTTGTTCAATATTGTGGCTCTTGTAGATCTTGTTCCAGGTTGCTAACACCTCCAAGAGTTATAGTGAAAAGCAATTTTCAAGTTTTCTTGTTTTGCAGCTCGTTTTGCAGGCTTCCTTCCCTCAGTATTGATGGGTATGTGCCACACAGAATTAGTACAAGGGAAAAAAGAGAGTAGAGGACATGAACTGAAATGCAGTTGGCTATTTTCAGGTTTGGAATGCTGCTAGGTGTCAGAGTACTTAAGGTTTAATGTCTGAAACCCAAAACCTAAGGTGCCTTTGTGAACCTACCTCCGGGGAAAAAAAAACTGAAACCAACCAGTATCCTAGACTTAGAAAACTAAACTTAATCCATCATTCAGTTCACATCACTGTCAAGCATCCTGCATGTACTATACCTTTTATCTGCCCTATCAGTTAATTTTGAGTTGGTGGTCACATCTTTCAACAAGGTGATGGGCAGGTATTTACTGGACTAAGGAATCATGCTGTGAGAAGTGCAGGTTTCAGAGCCTCTACTCCCAGTTTGCAATTGGTGGAAATTTTTGTGTGGCTACAGCTACAGAATTTATTGTTAGGAATGGGAAATTGGATTGATTAAATGTTTAGCCTTCATTGATACTGGACCTTTTTTTACTTGCTTCTGCAAGGAGATAAGCTATCGTAAGTGGTTTCAGATGGAGAATTATTTTTTCTCTTAGTATTATGTTAGTTGTGTTTTTCTAATAAATAGTAAAAGCATTAGTAATTTTTCTCTCTCTTTGCTGTCTTTTTCTCAGGGGGTAGGAAGAAAATTTTTTAGATGAAACAAAATTTCTTTCCAGTCTGACACAACAATTTGATTTAGCATAGAATTTTAATTAGGTTTTTTTTTATTTTTTAATCAGAGAAAATATAATTTTTCTCTTTTGTCTTTCACTCAATAGCTTATCAAACCTACTGAACTGTTCTAAGAAATAGCGTCTTACGGTTCAGAGGTGCCATCATAGACTAAAACTTCTGTATTGTCAGTTGAACACGGCTATAATTTTCACAGGTCAGAAAAACAGACATTATTGTCCCATAAATGGTAGCAGATTTCATATCTGCACTAACTGAGCTAAATTCTAAATTTTGCAACAATTTGCACCAAAGTGGACTTTCTGACTTAAGTGAGATTAACTGTGCTCTTAAGGTAGAAGTGACCCTTCCTGTAATGTTATACCACACCATTTACTGGAATATGTACAAAAAATTTATACTCCTTATACCAGTTTGTTCTAAATTTGTCTCTCAAACCCTTTCAGTATTACACAATGTTTCAGAGAAGGGAAAAATAAATAAATTAATGCTTCTCATATTCAGCCTGGACTTTGTTAGTCCCTGGGGACAGCTGTCCTTGTAATAAACTGTGCAGTTAGCAAAAGCCAATTTAGGAGAATTTCATTACCTAGTAAAGTGTTTTATTGCCTTGTAAAATCCTTTGTTAGGAACATTGCTTTTCCAAATACTATAAGAACTCCAGAAGTGTCCTTTTTTGGTGTGGTCTTCTCTGGGAATGTGCTTAGTGTCTTAGGTTACACTGTTTGCATGGTACATAGTTAGGTTTTGATGGCCATTTTTAATGATGGCATTCAGCTTCAGGGTTTGCACTTTTTTCCCCTTCAATGAAAACATTTGTGTGGGGGAGTGTCGGGCGCGTGAGACAGCTGGGCTGATTCTAAAGAACTATTCTGCTCTTTTCCGTTCATTTGTCTCTGTTATGGGCATGCTGATTTTAAGTTAAGAATGACTCTTTGATGGAACTTGACTGTCTCCTGAATGAACTGCATTGCTTGGATGAGCATGTTTGTGAAATCAATTCCTGTACTGCAAATGCTACAAAAAGAGCACTTCTTTCCACCTATCACCCTCCTCTACTCTCTTTTTTTTTCCCTGTGTACCAAATCTGTGCAGCACAAAAGTACTTGTTGATTTCAACAAAGAATTAAATGCCTGTGTAGAGATATCTGAATGGTACTTTGAGCAAAGTAGGTCAGAGATAACATCTGAAATATTAGGCTTTCTGCACTAGGAAATTTTCTTTCATACACTGCCATAGTTTATTCTGATGCAGTTATCTGTGCTGCAGTGGTTCCCTGATGGGCAACTCTCCTCTGGAATAAAAACTCTCCTCTGGAATAAAAACTCTCCTCTGGAATAAAAACATTTCATTCCAGAATAATTATCAGTGTGTGGAGCGAAAAGCCAAAGTCACTTTTGTTCTGGAAAAGAACATTGTCTTGGTGAGCTGTTTGTAGGTAGATACCATGGAACAGTGTGTTTTGCTAGTTAAGCTGATCATAAGTTTTTCCATATAAAGGAGCCCTTGCCTGCTTTTGAACCTCTGCAGGGAGTTGCAGGGTGATTGCTGCTAGTCCTCTGGCTGCACGTATATTTCTCTTCATCTAGCTTGGAGCTGAAGGGAAGTGCAAAGAAATCTAAGATGCAATAGGATGGAGGGATATTCATTAAGGGCTGTGACTGAGTTCAGCTGGGGCAGCTCCCAAAGGGAATATACAGGAATATTCCTGCACTTGTGTTGCTCAAGACTGAAGATGCCAGGACCAGCTTAAGTCAGTGGGAAACTGAGCAGGTACAGGGCTCTTTTGAGGCTCTTTTTTGTTAGTTTAGTGAGTAATGAAATGGCTCTGCTGAAAGCCTGTCTCCACGCAGGAAGGAATACCACTGCCAGGATCGCTAGACTTTTTCCTAGATACCTTCAAAGCAGCAAGGTGACATGTTGGTAGGATGAAATGGTATCTCGGTTCCCTTCCAAGTGTTACCAGTAACTCCTCTGGGTGCTGTGAGACTTTTTAAGGAGATGGGTGTCCTCTCACTGAGGAGGTAGCTCTGCAGAATTCACCATGCACAAGTCTCCAAACAGATCATTTTTTCTCAGTTCCTGCCCGTGTTTCACCTATAGGTAAAAGTTTTCAGATCCAGTAGCTTGTAAATGTACAACCGTGTTTCACCTATAGGTAAAAGTTTTCAGGTCCAGTAGCTTGTAAATGACTTGCATGTAATATATCTCTTTAAACCCTTTTGGTTGTTGGCATAATGCCTAATTAACTAATAACAACAAAAAGTATTTGAGGTATCTGTAGGAACTGACAGGAATTAGGTTGAACAGGCTAACCCAAGACAAAATAAATCCTTTGCACTCTGGACCATGAATGGTTAGTTTGAGCTGGAGTCTCAGGCAGCGGTAATGCAGCACTTACCTGTCAGCATTTGTACATCAGGTAGGACCAAGTGTGCAGGAGATGGCTTTTTGTTACTTGGAAGGGATTATAGAGATATATTTAATGGGAACAGAACCTCTTGTTTTATAATCTGTGCAACTAGGAACATTGGCACAATAGTAGGAGAAATAGTTTCATAGCAGCATTTCTAGATAAGTCTGGGACAAAGCTGTAGGTGGAGGTAAGAGGAAGTGTTCATGTAAAATGATAAATGCAGTGTCTTTTTTTCCCCCCCTTCATTTTTTCCCCCCACTGAAATTAAGGTATTAATATAGATTTGGGAACCACACTTGTAAGTTAGACCCTAAATTAGCTGCCTGCCATTTCAAGCAGTGGTATCCTTCCATTGACTTCCATGATGTTTGGCTCCAGTTGTTACTATTATAAATAATGCCTTTTTCTCTTGCAGTACCAAATACTACTTCATTGCTATTTCACCATTATAAGTAGCAAAATAAGAACCAAGAACAACATTTGGTACTGCTGTTGTGTTTACATTGTATATAAAAGACAGCAGAGTCATTAATTCACTGGAATAAATTTAATCCTTCTGTGTAAGAGAGATCACTTACAAATTGCTTCATTTTCTCCTTCTTGTGTTTGTGTTTATTTTCGATTTGGTGTCCTTCATAAGTACATATTGCTAGCTGTTTGTTTAAAGTTTTTATTAAATTTTGCTTGCCATTCTACAATGCAAGTCACATCTGCTGGTTTGTTTTCATGTATCTCTACACCACTTATTTTATGAAGTTTGTTGAAAACCTGAACAAACATTTTAGCCTCAAATGACACTGCAAAATTCTGCTCTGAGTGCAGTGCTTTTCAATCTGGATGGCAAATACATAACTGAGCTTTCCTGGAGCCAAGTAGCATACAGAGATAAACTAGTTACCGCAACAATTTAATTACATTATTTAATTACATTTAATGCAAATGATGAAAGCCCATTTTTACAGAGAAGAGCGATTTTACTTCTGTGAAAATGGTGAATTTCCATTGGGGAGTGATTT